TTCTTATACAAGGTGATGATGACTGCATCACGAAGGTCTGATGGTAGTTTGCCTAGTTCCCAACAGCACACCAAAAACTAGTGAAATTTAGCATGGAGTGCAAGGCCCCCATGTTTCCAGATTTCAGGTGGAATTCCATCAACCCCAGCTGCCTTGCCGATTTTCACCTGCTGTATGGCCTTGAGGGTTTCTCCTAAAGTGGGGGCAGTATCCAATTCATACTTTACTGGTTGTTGTGTGATGGACTGAATTGCTGAATCTTGGACTACACGGTTGGTACTGAAGAGAGTCTGAAAGTGTTCAGACCATCGATTCTGAATGGAGGTTTTATCTGTTAGAAGGGTTTGACCATCAGCACTGAGTAGAGGACTTTGTACCTGGTATGTAGGCCCATATGCTGTTTTCAAGGCCTCATAGAAACCTTTGTGATCACCTGTATCTGCACATAATTGAATACCCACGTCTATTCAAGGGACAAAATGTGACACTGTTCTATAGACCTCATCACTGACATGACTACTTACTCTTCCTCTTCTCTCTCATCTTTGAAAGGTATTCAGGAATCTCCAGTGCCAAATGGCCATTCTCTCCCAAGCAGAGATTTTCTTCGGAAACAGATGCGAGGAGACCTTTTCACCCAGCAGCAGCTGGAAGTGTTGGATCGTGTCTTCGAGAGGCAACATTATTCCGACATTTTCACAGCAACTGAGCCCATCAAGCCAGAGCAGGTACTATTGCAAGTATTTCATGTTTTCCTGATATGCTTCCTGCTGGCAGAGGTCTGTTTGGTGGACATCACCAAAGGCTACTCAGTTTCAGTAGACAATCACAGAAAAACAGGTGTGTTGTCAAGCTCATCTCAGCCAAGTGCATGTTAACCATGAAAGTCTATAAAAAAATAAAGGAAAACACTCATTCAGCAAACATTAGCAAATGTTTGGGTATGAAATTATGCCTGATCTGGACCAGTTGCATCAAATGAGCCTTTAAAGAGCATCACAGCTTCTAATGTTTTTGTTAGATCAAAAGCAGGCATTGCAGATAAAAAGAGGAAGACTTGCAAAACCCAGTGCCTAATTTTGGTTCCTAGTTATCATGACTGTGGGCACAAATCAGATTTTTGTATCCAGAAATGGCTTATTAGGCGTGTAACTGGCCATTTGCTGAGAGAAACACCCATTAGCATGTGAAGGTAAATTAGTTGCACCTACAGATCAGCAGTGTGTTTGAGGAGGACTTGGCACTAATATTTTGGGAAAGTTCCATTTGTGCAGGCATGATGCAGAAGCACACGCAAAAACTGATGAGCCACATCTCTGTGTTCTTCTTCTTGGGTAGCAGTATTTAATTCAGCTGCTGAAAAGGAGGTAGAAATTAATATACTGCTGTCAGCACTGGTATTGGTCTAGCTTGCTACTCAATGATGTATTCAGCTTTTTGTCTTCAGGGTTCTTAATAACAGACGTGCTTTTTAGCAAGGTGGATGGACTCCTCTAACTGCAGCCAAACACTGATTCCCTTTGGAGGAATCTGTACTTTTGAGGGCCACTGGAGATTCTCTCATGGCAGATTACTACCATCATGGATCCACTCAAGGAATGTGTATTAGCATACATTTAAAAAAAAAAATTACTTACGCTGAAAGTCCTATGGTAGAGTAGAAATTCCTCATGCCTTTAGGCTCACATTTATTATTTCATTCATAGAGACATTTACTTTTCACCAGCTTCTGCTGGTTTTCTGGCTTCCCTGATTCACACATGCTGAGAAACTCTGCAGATCTGAACTTGAGCTGAAAAAAGATGGGAAGCCAAGCCATCATTTTCTCTGGAAGGTGAAGTGGCCTTCATGTGCCACTAGATGGTGGTTATCCCATCCAAAGTATTAGATCTGTCCCTGCAAAACTTTTACGGGCCCAAATAGTCATTGCAAAGAGAGCAACGATGGGAGAGGACTGTGTATTTTTTTCTGTGTTCTGGATCCCCTGAGTCATGGACAGCTGTAGCTCATGGGAGACAGTCCAGCAGCGAGTGAACATTTATCCAGATATAAAGTTTTCCTTTTTTTTTATAGGAAGAATGGGAGATTTGAATAAGGATGTTGCTGAAGTGTTATCCCATTTATCAAATTTGGGATGTATGACTGTTGGTGGAGCAGGGATCTTCCCAGGCCCATGTAAGGAGCTGTGACTAGAACAGCTCTGAGCAACCGGATTATTAAAATTGGAGATATGCTGCTATCAGTTTGGAGAACAGGGTACTCTCTGAATGCTCTGGGAAGTCAAATAAGATGCTAAGAAATGTGACACTATGAGATTCAAAAGATGCTTTGCAGAAGCATCTTGCTTAGGCATTTTTGCATTTGATTACAAGAGAAATTTGTAGTTGTTTGCTTTCATATAGCTTGGAGCATGGTCATTTGCTTTTGGAAGGCTGGACCATGGTCAAGGGCTTGTGGTTGTTTGGGGTCAGCTTCTGCTTTGTGATGGTGTGTGAACTATAACTTTCAATGTGAGCAGATGTGTAAGACTTGCTGTGTTTCACAGGGTCACAGCTATGAACCCTAGCTGTTACCAAAACAGTCATGTCTTACCTCCTTGGTAAGTCAAGCAAAGCTGTCATGATGCTTAACCAAAGCAGAGAAGCTGTCTGCATCAATTAGTAAGGCTGAAGAAATCAATGAGAAAGAAAATACTGAGAACATTAATGATGTGCCTTGGAAAACCACAGTTGTCCTTGCAATAGATTGCTGTAGTAAAGCAAGGTCTGCCTGTGACATCAAGCTGTCCAGAGTGCTGCTGGACTCCTAAGTGATGCTGTAGGAGCTAAATCAGTGGTGGATGTATGGAGCCCTGAGCTATTTCCGTAGAGGAAAATATGGAAAAGATGCTCCTCCCCGTAGAGACAGAATGTGGGGAGAAGACTGGTAGGAGCTGCTGACCCACTGTTTGTCCATTTTATTAGAAATTTGATCCAGTAGCAGCCATCTGAATATCAATAATTTTGCACAAAAACTTGTTGATGTTCCAGTGCTGTTCACCTGAGGAGGGCTCCAGGTATTTTACTGGAAGAAGTTAGTCTCTAGACAAGGTAGTTCCCTTTTTCTTCCTGATTTTGCCTCCTCTCCAAGTCTTCCTCCTCATTTGTCTGCTGGGGGAAGGCCCTTGGCCATGGTCAAGAGGAAGAGGTCCCTCCTGCACAGCACAATGTTTGCAGTCTCATCATGCTTGGTCTCCAGCTGCAGACTTGCCTCTGCTGCCCAAAGTCTTCCTTTGAACAAAATTTCTGGACAAAATTTGTCCTTGCCTTTTGGAAAATGTCCGTTCTTCCTCATGTATAGGTAGATGGACCGAGGTCTGTGTGGGAGTGCTTGCTCACAGCTTCCAAACCCTTTGTTTTGAGTACTTCCTTCACTTTACTGTCTTTACATTTCCCTCAGCTCATTTGTATAAAATGGAAGCTCTTGAGTTATTTCTCACCTCAAGACATGTTGTGCTTTCCATAAACATCGTAAGAGTTTTCACATCTGCTGTAAGCTGTGCTGCCTGTGGAGAGACCCACAGGGAATGGATGCTTGTCTTTGGGGAAGAGCTCATACCATGTTGAGAGAGAAGGCAACCACTGGACAGTGACAGGAAAATAAAGCATTAGACAGTTCTTGGACAGAAATGGTGACAACTGTGTGTGCTGGGTGAGGTGGGGATCCTATGGTGTGTTCCTACCATTAAAAACTCCATCGTATGGTGTGCGTTGGGGGGCAGAAGTGAGACATCCCCTGTTACCTGCCTCACTTTGCAACCTGACAGCCAGTGGTGCAGTTGGGCACATGTAGGTGTGTGCTCTGCAGCACTGCATGTGTGGAGCATAAGAAACATCTGACAGCAGGGGAATTCCAGCAGCTGGGACCTGGAGAATTAAGGTCTTCTGTGCAAACAGCATCAAGTCCTTTCGTGTCTATATACTGTGGGGAGAAAACACAGCATAAAGTCAGTACTCTAGAATTACCCTGACCCACTTCCCCCGGCAGAGTCCTGCTATAAATTTGAATTCTTATGTAGAATGAATGGCTTTCCCTCATGCTTGTGCCCTTTTGTACTCATTTTTTGCAAACAGCCTGTGATCAATTTGCACTGGCTGCATATGTTCATGGAAAACTAATTTCACGTGTTTCTGGGCACTGGTCTGGAAATGCACATAGTGGTGTGTTTGCAATGTCAGTGTTGCACTGCCATTCTGTACATGGCTGCTGCCCACCACTTCCACACAGCTCTTCCATCAGCCGGGATGAAGCCCACAACTTGAATTCAACGTAATTTTCAGGTCCTGGAGAAGAACCTTCACAGCATTTGCCTCTGGGCTGGCAGCAGCTCCCGTTCTCGCTGTACTTCTCTGTGTGTGTGTATGTTTGTGTATGGGCCTTACTGATCCTCAGTGTGTCAGCTCTGTGGTGAAGTCCCCTTGCCCACAGGGAAGGCTGTTGTGTTGCTGGCACAGGCTGCACCCCAGTTGTCCTTGGAGCAAACCATACTGACACAAAGAGTGGCTTTTCCCCGCTGGCCCTGGAGTTGTGCTGTGGCAGACTGACACACTCCAGCCTGGCCCCTGCCGCAGGCAAAACCCCACCATTCCTGGTCACTGCAGTGACAATTCAGATTTTATTCAGAACAGGCACTCATCCTGTGCGCAGAGCTGCAACATTGAGTTGCAAAATTTTCCAATGCCTATAGTTCATTAAGAGCTGGAGGAACTAGAGGCACTGGCTGTACTCTGCAAACCCTGAGCCTGGCTGTGAGGGTGATTGTCCTCCAATGGCTTCCTTCGATTCCAACCAGAAGGATGGAAAAGCTCTTCCCAGCACCCCTGAGAAGCTGCCCTGGGCTGGCTGAGCCTGTGGCATCCATTGTGTGTACTGTTTACATTCCCCAGGGCAAAGCACAGACAGGAGATGTTCCTGGAGGCCAAGGCCCAGGAAAGTCAAGAAGAGACAGGGGCTTCAGGCATGGGAGGCTGGACAGGTTCAGGAAAGCCCCATCAAGGTGGGAAGGGGGCTTGTGGATGAATGTGCTTGTGGCAGCTGTGAGAGCAGCATTAACACCTCTAAGGAGAAAAATACAGGGTGACGGATATACAGCCAGATTGGCTCAACTGAGAGTCAGTGCATTAATTTCCTCAGAATAAAGAAGAGAATTATTCATGCTGGATTTCTGTCCACAACACAAATGGACTCTTGTACTTCAGCTTCACACATGGTCCAGTTGAATACTCATTGCAGCCAAGAGGAATATTTATACTGACTTCAACAAACTTTAGAACAGGGCCATAATGAGACATAACATAATGTGACCAAATTCAACACTATGTAGGTCACCTGACATAGAAGAGAACTTATTGCTGCTAATAGCAGATAATTCCCAGGCCCTTCCTAGGGATTTAGCACTAGTTTTTTTAGTTTGCTTTTAGCTAGAACTAAACCGAATATCTTTTTTCAGATAAATTTCTGTATAAAATGTAGATATGTTGGGGTCTGGCAGAAACCAGTAACCTGGCAAACATATAGTAACATGTGTTTGTGATATGGAATGCAAGTAAACATGGATCTAGGGATAAGCATAGGCAGATGGAATTTGGATAACTAAGAGAATTCTGACAGCTAAGGAACCCCTTAAAATTACTTATGAGTTGGAAAAGTCAAAGAATTGCATGAAGTTGAAACCTGATTCAGAGAGATT